TCAGATTAATAAATATTTAAATAAAAAGAGATTTAAAAATATTTTAATGATAAATAACCAGGCAAATAGGCTTCATGGTTACTGGTCCCAGCTAGAAGGTATCTATGAAGACAATGGTGCAGGAACAGCTCTATGAAATCATTGTAGTTATGGTTGCTTAAGCCGTTGGTGAAGTTGGTCAAATCCTACAACTTTCTTCCACAGAGTAAAATGAATGGTTCATCCATCCATTATCATAATTTGAAATCCTAGAATACTGTGGTGATGTGTGAATCTACAGTCCAGATCTTCTTAATCAAGATGCTAGGTTAAAAAAGTACACCTTCATGCAGCTCCTGCAACTCTCCCACAAGAAACAGGAACCACAACTGTCTTCATGTATTCTAGTTTGAAAAGTCTTGCTTCAATTAAAAAAAGCAAACACCACAAGGATTGGACACAGTTTTAAAATATTCAGTATGTTCATGTCCTGATTTGTCAGTGGTAACCCCTAGAACATGAACTAATCTAAATATTATTTACTTTAAAAACTTTTGTGGGAAACTGGATCCCTCAGGAGGATCCATAATGAGATATAGAATATCATCTTCTGCTGGTACAAATCCAAGCCAAAGTGGTAGCAATAGCTGTTTGGTGTACTAAATTCAGTCCCCAGTGGACAGGTGTCCCAGAATTGGGTACATGCATTTGTTGGAAGTCTCAACAGATAGAACGAGTTTGGACATGTGGACCCCATACCAGATGCACTCACCTCATCCACCAATTACGACACAATCTCTGATTGCCATATCCCACAGGGGACCATAAGTGGACAGAGACTGAAGTCCCCAACTTCCATTCCCTGTTCTCTATCTGGAAAATGGAGCTTCAGTTTCATCTCCTGGCTTGCTGACCCATGTAGGAAGTCACTAAAAGTACAGAGCTCTGTGAATAGGAAAGGAATTCTTCCACTGTCGAAGCAAGAATACAGGCAGGTAAGTAGCACATAGAGATGTCTATGTGGAAGCAGATCTAACTGATAACAGATAAGGAGGGATCACTACACGTTATTTTGCACAGGCCTTTGAACAACATGGGTGCAGCTGTTCAAATCACTTTGTGAACTATCAATGATATCAGAGCTGGTACTAAAGCAGTATCTTTATCTTGGTAATACACCTATCTCCTATGTCATGAAGGCAAATTTATACACGATAGTTAAGGCTAAGATTTTGTCACAGATAGATCTGAATAAAGACTGGGAGTGGCTGGGTCACTACAAAAAATAATTTTCCCTCTGTTGATATTCACCCCTTCTTGTCAACTGTTGGGAAGGGGCCACATCCACCTTAACTGAATTGGCTTCATTAGCACTGACCCCCCCACTTGGTAAGGCAACTCCCATATTTTCATGCACTGTATATTTATACCTGTCTACTTTTTTTTTTCCACTCCATGCATCTGATGAAGTGGGTTCTAGCCCACGAAAGCTTAAGTCCAAATAAATTTGCTAGTCTCTAAGGTGCCACAAGGAATCCTCGTTGTTTATGCTGATACAGACTAACATGGCTACTTATCTGAAACCTAGGCGTTCTAGGTATAACTAAAATACAAATAAAAGTCCGAAAGACAGACAAAAAATAATGCCAGCTAAAAAGTCAGCTCAGGTCTGTCCAAAACTTAGTTTGTGATTTCTGAAGAGATTCATAAACCACTAGGTGCACCTGGGCTGGATCACAGGTTTGTAACAAAACACAATTCCATCTCATTTAAGTTTCATTAAGAAAGTTTCACACAGCATTGTTAATTATTCTGGCAAATCCAGCTACATAAAATGAGTCAGACCAGAATACACAGGGTACCCGAAAAGAATCTACCTTAGCTAACAATGCACTGAACCCATCCATCCTGAAGAAAAAGACTAAGAAGCAGAATGAGTGAACAACATTAAAAGAGATAAGAACCCTGAAGAAGCATAAACAATCTGTATTTAACTACCATAGTACCTTGGGTTGGTGGGAGGGAGGTAGTACATATCTATGCCAAAAATGAAATTAGTTTATTATAGTTTGTCAAAAAAATAGGTAAATCTTTAGTAAATCCTCTTCCCAACTAACAAGGAAGCTATAGCCCTTAATGACACAAATATTATAAGTATAATATTTTCTCATGTTAGGCAAAAAACCCCTAAGAACTATGGACTTCATAAATGCAACATGTATATGTATTTGAAAAGAGAGAGTGGGGGGGAGGTTTTAATTACATTGAATTATTTATGGAATAAAGCTCTTTTCCAGAGGACTTGATGCTGGTGAATGGTTATTTTTAGGGATGGCAACAAACAAGAATTCTGCTTTACAAAAAGTGTCAACGTTTCGATATTTGTTTTCATTCTGATGCATTCTGAAATGTATCATGTAAACAAACAAACTTCCTCCATTTCCCGCCCCCCACAAACAGACACACAGGAACAACACCCCAGAATAGCTAACAGCCCAGTGGTTAAGGGACTCACCTGATAGGTGGGACACTCAGGTTCTACCTGGTTTGGGGCAGGGACCTGAACCTGCATTTTCCACATTCCAGCCGAGTACCACCAGGTTATAGAGTCAGTCTCTCTAACTGGTACAAGGAATATTTAACTATTTATACAGAGTAGAACAGCTCCAACAGGGAAGACTGAGGGAGAGAGAAAGAGCCCTGGACAGGGATGACTGACACCATTTGACTTCTGTCTTATGCAACTACAGGTCTGTTGCATCTTAGGCACATTTAACATGTGCGATTTCAGCTTTACATGGTTGGCAAAACCAAAACAAAAAACAACAAAAAAAGAGAAAAATAACAATTTAAATACTGTTTCTGTAGTGCGGACGATTCCGCCCACCATTACACTCAATGTAATTTTGACTATGAGCAATTTTCGCTTTAGGCGCTGACTGCGAAACGTAACCCCAGCGTAAGATGAGACAGATCTGTAATGAGGTTTGAGAAAGATAATGATGTTATCTTCTTGAAATATAGAGATTAAAACAAGAGCACCACAATACTGATAATCTAAAAATGAAAAATATATCATGCCCTGAAGGTTGATAGGTTGGACTCTGCTGGGTTGAAAATTAAAGTGATTTCCAAGGTGTGATGCTGGGGGCGCACTCACCTCTCGTGGGTGCCTCCCGTCGGCTGTGTGTGACAGTTTGTGTCCATTTGTTCTTGTGTCCACATGGGCACTTAACTTAAATAGCTCCTCTCCCTCCCTCATATTTATCCCTCTGATATACTTATAGATAGCAGTCATATCTCCCCTTTTGGTTAGGCTAAACAAGCCAAGCTCTTTGAGTCTATTCTCATAAGGTAGGTTTTCCATTCCTCAGATCATCCTAGTAGCCCTTCTCTGCACCTGTTCCAGTTTGAATTCATCTTTAAGTATTCCAGATGAGGTCTCACCAGTGCCTTGTATAATGGTACTAACACTTCCTTGTCTCTACTGGAAATACCTCACCTGATACATCCTAGGGCTGCATTAGCCTTTTTCACAGTCGCATCACATTGACAGCTCATAATCAGCCTGTGATCAACCAATACACCAGGTCTTTCTCCTTCACTGTGACTTCCAACTGATAAATCCCCAGTTTAAATTCTTGTTGTTAATCCTTAATGCATGACTTTGCACTATTAAATATCATCCAATTTCTATTTTTCCAGTTTACAAGGTCATCCAGATCTTGTATGATATTCCAGTCCTCCTCGGTATTGGCAATACCTCCCAACTTTGTGTCATTTGCAAATTTTATTAGTGCACACATTTTTTGTGCCAAGGCCAGTAATAAAAATGTTAAATAAGGTTGGTCCCAAGACAGATCCCTAAGGAACTCCACTAATAACCTCCCTCCAGCCTGACAGTTCACCTTTCAGTATGACCTGTTGTAGCCTTCCCTTTAACCCGTTCCTTATCCACCTTTCAGTTCTCATATTAATCCCCATCTTCTCCAATGTAACTAATAATTTCTCATGTGGAACTGTATCAAATGCCTTACTGACATCCAGGTAGATTAGATCTACTGCATTTCCTTTGTCTAAAAAATCTGTTATCTTCTCAAAGAAAGATATTAGTAACTTTGTTACCACCTCTTGAGTACAACAATTGAAACAATGTAACCTATCATTTAGGCTACTTACTTTTTGCAGTTCACCAAGCTTGGAACAGATCATTTAACTTTAGGAAACATGCTAATAGTCCTTTCTTATCTTAATTACCTGTTAATCACATTGCTTATAAACAAAATTCTACAAAAACAACAAGGAGTATGGTGGCACCTTAAAGACTAACAGATTTATTTGGGCATAAGCTTTCGTGGGTAAAAACCTCACTTCTTCGGATGCTCTGACAGCTTAGAAAGCTTATGCCCAAATAAATCTGTTAGTCTTTAAGGTGCCACCAGACTCCTTGTTGTTTTGTAGATACAGACTAACATGGCTACCCCCTGATACTTGACACCATGCAAGGTTCTGACTCCCTGCCTCAGGGGCACAAGCTGGAAGCAGTCGCCTGTCTCCTCTGCAGAACATTGCACATGCCTGCCTAAGGCTTGCAGTTGGGGGGTGGGGGAGGTGACAACACCCTCCCATGTCCCCCCAAACTATGCTATTGTTTAGGGGGGCAATGCCCCCTTCTGCCCCCCCAATCCACCTATGCTCTTAACAGCTCCTTTAGATTTAAATCAATGCAGTCAGACAGAATATCGGCAAGCAGGTAAACTGCGGTACATATATTCATAAAAAATACAAATCTTCCGCATTTTCCACAGGGCGATAATGTTATTTTCTGACCAGTGACTGAGAGATATCCCACTTTTGTAACCATATTAGAAGTACTTGATTAGACATAAATAGTAAATTGCCACAGATTCTATATTTTAAACAGAATTAGTGATTTACATCAGTAATATAACAAATCTTTATTTCTGCAATGGTCTCTTTCACTGAGTCTTGGAGAAACATGACATTTAACAATATCTTACCGCTATATCTCCACGACAGTTTCGGGATTGGCAAGTGCCAGCTATTCTGTTTGGCATCAGCACATCCTCCCAGCAAGATGGACCCTTTAAAATAAAATCCAAACAACTTTTTAAATCTAATTGTTAAGAAAAGATATAAACGTTCCTCTTTACTGGAACTTTGCTAGACGGGAACTTTATTACTCTTCTGCTAACATAATACAGTCAAAGGTTCTAGCATTGCTAAAAAGACATTTATCATTAAAGCTTAATCATTAATAGAAAATGCAGCTCCTTCTGTTCTGTGCCTACTGTTCCTAAGAGCACTCAAACTCTCAACTCTGTATTTCCAATGCTTAAAGTTAGCCAGGGATACTTCTTCATTATGATTAAAAAAGCTACAGAAGATCCATGTTCTGTCTGAATAATATTTATCTGAGCCTGCAGTTGATCGACTGAAAATGGAAAAATGACAATGTTGTTCAGAGGGGGAATATATGGAATCTAAGGTTGGGAAAATGTTAAGTGGCTTTCTTGTATTTGTTTGCTTAACCATTTAAGTGGCTTCTGTTTTACTGAGATGAAAGTCAATACACAAGGGAGGACTTGGGCCTACCTATCACATGGACTTTGATATCTTTTATTTTAAACCAACAAGAGAATTGCTTCAGACTTTCTTCAATCATCTTCGTCATCACCACCTCTAAACATAATACACATTAGTAATCAAAAAGTATGCAACAAGGGAGTAAGACCATATTGATGGTGTTTAAATTATCATTATATCTCATCTAAATATTTTGTTAAAGAAAAAAAGCCATTTCTAAAGTAAACAGATAGAAAATCTTGAATGGTCATTGCTACAACTTGTTGAATGGAAACAATATTTATGGTTCCGATAAAAGATAGACAAAAAGAAATAACTTCCAAGTTAAAGACAACAGTCATCATTATTAAAAAAGAAGAACAGGAGTACTTGTGGCACCTTAGAGACTAACAAATTTATTAGAGCATAAGCTTTCGTGGACTACAGCCCACTTCTTCGGATGCATAAGTGGGCTGTAGTCCACGAAAGCTTATGCTCTAATAAATTTGTTAGTCTCTAAGGTGCCACAAGTACTCCACTCCTGTTCTTCTTTCTGCGGATACAGACTAACACGGCTGTTACTCTGAAACCAGTCATCATTATTAATATTCCAGAATTGCAAAGTATTATATCTGTAAGCTACGCAAGTATCCCCTGGTACCCAAAACACTGGAAATTACAATAAGGTTTCCAATTTTATGTTAATCTCAAAACTACTATTAACAAACAAATGATAAAATGATGTGATAGAAATAAGAAGCTCACACACACACACATACAACCGACAAGAACAAAGAATAAAGGCTTTAACCATTAAAAACATTATTAATCAAATTTAGATGCTGCATAGGACAGTCACTTCTGATGGAATTAAGTAGTAAACTATACGGAAACCCTACCATGTGAAAGGTTTATTTATACAAAAACAAAAACTGGATCTCTCAGCATTTGGGAAATTAATGACAATGTAAATTGTGGCCAGATTGTAAAAACCAAGTCCCAAAACTTACCCTGAACTCACAATGAACCATATCCTTTCCACCCACTCTAACTCTTAGGGAAAGAACAGCCCTTTGGCAAGTGCTACTGATTGCATTATTTGCAGTTACTATTGGGTATGAATAAAGGTTGTTACAATGAAGGCCCCATGGTGGATGCAAGGTTACCTCCACGAGAAGGTGATGCAGTCTCACCTCTCTAGCTTTCTTAGTTCAGAGCTTCACGTCTCTACGACTTTGGCAAATGTCCCAGATGTGACCTTCATCTAGGCATTTTCAACAGGAGGATCACTTATCAGCACAGACTTCTTGCAGCCAATGCAATGCTTAAAGCCTGGAGACAGAGGCATTCCAAGGACCAAGAGTCGGGACCCAGAACCGACTCTCTAAATCAAACAAGTAAAATAACAGATGAAACATATTCTAAAGTACTAACTATTCATGGAGTACACTAACTATATACAGGAAAAGCAAATTCCCTGGAAGGGAAAACATTTGCAAAGCAAGCCAACATGCTCCGTCTACCAATCTCAGCCAGCAAGAAGGACCTGATGGGGCAGCTCCAAACTTTATACTACCTCACAGCAGCATGAGGCAGAAGAAAGTGCACACACCACACCAAAGGGTACCAATAAGGGAAAAAACTCCAACTATGTACTGGTGCACTGGGCATGCATGCACCTGAAGTGGAAAGGACATGTTGCAACATAGCTCAAAGAACAACAATTGCAGAACAGGTTAATAACTTTTTTTTTTACTAATGGGTGTGAATAAAAGTCTTTATAGTAACTCCTCAATTATTTTGCAGGGAGTAAACCAAAACATAAATGCTGATTTAAAACAAACATTCTGCTTTTAACAAGTAACCAAAAATTAAAAATAGATGAGGTAAGGCAACAAAGGAACCTCGCTCAAGGCATCCTTTCCAAGGCTGGTCTACACTGGGGGGGGGGGGTAATCGATCCAAGATACGCAACTTCAGCTACGCAAATAGCGTAGTTGATGTCGAAGTATCTTGGATCGAATTACCTGGGGTCCACACGGCGCGGGATCGACGGCCGCAGTTCCCCCGTTGACTGCGCTACCGCCGCTTGCTCTGGTGGAGTTCCAGAGTCGACGGTGAGCGTGTTCGGGGATCGATATATCGCGTCTTAACGAGACGCGATATACCAATCCCGGATAAATCGATTGCTACCCGCCGATACGGCGGGTAGTGAAGACGTACTCCAACAGTTAGAGGAGGGAGACTCAATCTTATTACCATAACTTTACTAGGAATCAGACATAACCTAAAAGACATTAAGGATTTATAACTATATTTATTGTATATTGCCAGATCTTAGTGTAATTTAAATTGCAGATGAAAGATCCATTTGAAAACCTCTCTCCCATTATTCTTTGTGCGTGGGATTTTTACCTTCATTTATGGGAATTTAAGTGATTTATATACAGTTGACATAATCACTTCAGATGATCCTTCTCCAGAAAGAATTACACACGTTTATGTGGAGTACTATATGTGAACATGATGCTTTTCAAAATACTTTGATCCTGATCCTATTTAATATCAATGGTAAAACTCCCATTGACTTCACTAGTGTAAGATTGTACCCAAGACACCTAATTCTTCTCCCACCTACGCCATTGTAAACTGGTGTAACTCTCTCAAAGTCAATGGAGCTATACCAGTATAAGTGATAGAAGAATCAGGCACAAGGTCTCTACACAAGGAAGTCTCTACACAAGGAAGTTTATAATCCAAATAACCTATCCTGGAAGGACATTACCAGCCATAGCGTTCATCATCAAGGCTTCATGAGCAGCAAACACTACAGGTCAATTTTTGTATGCTGGTGCTTCACTGAAATCAATGGATGCACACCAGCATAAAATTTGCCCAAACATCTGGAAATAAGAGTTTCCAGGACTGGTCTCCAAGTCAAAGAAAAATAAAATATAATAAAGGACAGTAGTGCCAATGCAAGAAAGAAGAGATATAAAAATAAGTGGCTATTAAGGAGGGATTTGAAGGAAAGCACAGTTATGTTGACTGTGCCAAAGTGGTTTATAAATATTACTGAATTACAACTTTCACTTTCATTTTCTGTAGGCACAAAACTACCCAGACCAAAAAGAAAAATCATATATATTTTTCCCCTTTTGATAGCTTATTGCCTGATGTAACTTGCACTTCAAGTCAATAGTAGTGTTTTAGTTTACCCTGATAGGTATTAGATCAGGGGTGGGCAATCTACAGCTTACGGGCTGGATCCAGCCCCTCAGGGCTTTGGATTCAGCCCACATCCCTGCGGCCCCCCGGGCGGGGGGGGGGGTGGGAGGGGAGGCAGAGGGCTCCATGCATTGCCCTTGCCTCCAGGCACCGCCCCCCGCAGCTCCCATTGGCCAGGAACGGGGAACCACGGCCAATGGGAGCTTCAGGGGAGGTACCTGGAGGTGCAGCAAGGGCAGTGCATGCAGAGCGCTCCTCCCTCTCTCCCCAAGGGGCCGCAGCGCTTCTGGGAGCAGCACGGGGCCAAGGACAGGGCAGGCATGTAGGGAGCCTGCCCTGGCACCGGTGCGCGCCGCTGCAACCCCGGAGCCGCTTGAGGTAAGCAGCACCGGGACGGAGCCCGAACCCCTCTTGTACCCAACCCCCCCAACCCCTTGCCTGCAACTTGCACCCCTCCTGCACCCCAACCCACTGCCCTGAGCTCCCTGCTGCACCCTGCACCCATGTACCCCAACCCTCCTGCTGCACCCCGCACCCTCCTGCACCCCAACACCCTTCCCTGAGCCCTCTCATGCACCCCTGCTCTGCCCCAATCCCTTGCCCTGAGCTCCTTCCTGCACACCGCACCCCCTCCCACACCCCACACTCCCTCCTGCACCCCAACCCCCTGCCCCGGCCCTGCATACAATTTCCCAACCCAGATGTGGCCCTCGGCCCAAAAAGTTTGCCCACCTCTGTATTAGATTGAGCATTTAAGGAAACAGAGTGGTCTAGCAGCTAGAGACCGTGGCAAGGAGTCAGGAGATGTTGATTCTGTTCTTGACTGTCACTGACATGCTGAGTGACTAAGGGAAAGTCACTTAGTCCATATCTAAACTGGCCCATAGCAAAATGAGGTTAATACTTTTCACCCAAATCTGTGAAGAAGTTGCAGCTCTTCAGATGAAAGATGCTATGGTATGTAAAGTGTTGTTAATAATAATTTCACATATTTTAAAAAGATACTGTTTAGCTGAAATCTTATATCTAACTTTCCATGTTAGTAAAGCAGCAAAAGTTATAAACCCTTGAAAATGCAATATAATTAAAATGCTGACATTTGTTTAACGATACTGGTACTAAATGTCATTGGTATAATTGTGCCAAAATAAAAACACACATTCAAGTGAGATAAGCACTTTGAAATGCAATTTTTGTTTTGTTCTTTCCTAAGCTTTAGAAAAATCTGTCAAACTACAAATCAGCCAATCAGTCGCACTGTTGAAACACATTGTGCACTACAGTGTTTATAATTATTAGTTTATATTAATCAGAGTGTATTATGAGAAGAAAAAACCTCCTGATTGCAAGATTAAAGAGACTGCCCTTCATGTAGTAGTCACATGGCTGCTAAAGAAAGCTGCAGATCAAAATAAAAACACCAACGATTTTTTTTTCACGCATGTAAAAGGGAAAAGAGCAGAATAAAAACTAAGTATCAAGAAGACTGGAATATGAATGAATAAGAAAAAAATTAAAAAGTATAGTTGAATTTACTTTTCCTATTAATATATGTTTTTATTTTTTCTGTTTGGGGGTTTTTGGGGGGGAGGGGATGGGAGGCATATTGGATCGTAGGTCCATGATAAAGACAGGAAAGACAAGAAGGATTCAGGTGCCCTTAAATGTATCGGCAGAAACTTGATTAAACTGGGACTGCTTTCCAGCTGTAGTGAAGGTTTAACGTTACTTTAAAAGCTGTAGCTGCATTTTGATCCCTTGCAATCATCACTTTAAAAAAACGAAAACTGGAGAGGTGTTCTAGAGATCTCAGATGACAAATTATTCAAAATGCAGTAGTTAGATTGAGTTGTTGACCTGTGAAATCAGAGAAAGGTCGGAAACAGAGGTCAACAATAGAATTCATGATTCATCAAATAGTTTGAATCATTAGAAGGCTGGAAACTATCCATGTATTTAATGCTTTGTATTTTCCCTGCTTTATATTCTTCCCCAGTGAACAATATGCAGTAGAATATCATTAAAACACATCTTTGTACCTACTAATATCTACATTGGTGACATAAATCATTAAAATGTTGAGCAAATGACCCAACTGAGGGACAAACATTAATGCAAAAAAGATTTTTAAAGTAATGTAAGGAATAACGTCTGGTGCATAAGAGAATTCAAACTAGAGTACAAGTCACTAAGGAAGTGCTACAGTATATCTAAGCCAAGTCAGTGCTCACATTCCTTGGGAGAATATCCTCTATGGCCTTCGATATTCTAGATAAATTTGGTGTGCTAAGCCCTGCTTGGCCCTCCCAGAATGCTTCTAATTCCTTGCACCCACAAACAAAATATCTCCTATACAAAAGGTGCTGAAACCACCCTTTGGATTAGGTTTCCTTTTTGTTACTGTGTGATTAGCCAGTCTCCACTGCTACAGGGCCAGCAGGGAGTGTGGTCTTTGGCATCACAGATACAATTGTGGCCTTTCCACCATTATCATCCCTCAGTCACTTGCTGGTGACTTGTCTGTTGCACTTGCTGCACTTCATTGCACAAGGGGTTAAATTTGCCAGAAATCACTTATCTGTGCAAATTGTGCTGAACACATAGTAACAGAAATCAGTGCAAAAAAGTCTAAAAAAATTAACCAAATGTCCAAATGTCCATAGTGTCCAGGGTGTAATTCCTTAATTACACCCTGGACACTATGGCCAAAGCATTTATGTTACAGCTGTCAGCCCAAGTGTTCAATTGTTGCACATTCTTAACATGCTGCTTTATCTACTTGCAATTGCAATATATTCCATCTTTCTATTTGAGGCATGAAAATTACTCATGGGCATATTCCAACAGCAAAATGGTGTACAATTTAACACAGGCCATGAGTGTTGGGGGAATATTGACACTGCTTACCCAACGTGCTGTAAGACATCAAGTGCATTTTATAACATCTTAGCAGAAAACAATTAATCTTAGCCATTATTTTCTCCTAATTCTCTCTACTTATGTTTGAAAGGCTTTCATAAAGAAGGCATTTGAGCCTTGGAATCACATTTTGGGGCAATGCATGTTTTCCTATACCTGCATATATGTTCTCATAGATTCTCTATTCTTGGAGCTGGTCCTTCAATATTACCTCTCAGAAAAATTATAGGGCAATTATCAGGCTTTCCCTTCCCCGTATTGAAAATTGCCTCTGCTCTCATTGCAGAGATCCTTCACAAAGCAATGTTTTTCAGCAGCCTATTGGCATTCAATAAGTAACCTCTGCTAGTCCAGTTACACTGATAGCTTTCCTCTCTTTCTGCCCATTTGCTAATCCTATTGTTGCATAATCTAGTGCCTCCACACCTCTTATTCTTATACACTGTGAGAATTCTCATAACTGTTCTCAAGTCCAAAGAATGAGTGCCTTGCAAGAAGGCATTGGAATTTGAAAAGGAACTAAAATTATTACTTTTATTGATTTTTATTCAGGATATTAAAGGTCAGATGGTATTGCTGTGGTATTAATCATCATTTTGTATGTTTTATTTTAATGGTCCCTGCAGCTTCATGGATGTCCCAGAGCAGATGTGAGAGATAGGCAGATGACATCCACAGGAGTGGAATGGCTGACAAAATTGAGCTCCATCCATGAAGAGCAGGGAGGATTTATTCCTGGATATGCACAGAGAAATGAATAAGGATTTGGACTGAAGGTATCATTTTTTGTCAATGCAACTAACACCTACAATACAGTAGAGCTATCATGTTGAGAACATTCACCAGTGGTAAAACAGCACCCTCACCCAGTCTCAGCTCCCCTAAACAAGAATATTACCCTCCTCTAATAATCCCCATGTACACCAAATTTCCATTGCTGAATGAGGGCATGTTTGTTCTGAGCACGGTACAAGGATGGTACATCCAAACAGAGCCTTTCATTCTTTTTACTAAAGCAGTAATGCAGAGGATAAATTAAGACTTACAGATACAGCGATGTATTTTTATGAATTCTTTAACAGTTTTAATTTAGGAGAACCATCTGATTATCTTCAGCTTTTCAAGCTCTCTTTACTAAGAATAATCTAGCTGCTGTGTGAGCGAAATTGCAGCTACCCAGATTAGAGTCAGGCAAAGACCACATGATGTGCTTTAAGTGTTGAGAGATTGGAGATCTCATTTCAATTCAGAATGAGTAAATCTATTTGAATAACAACATTTATTATCATGTAGAGCTTCATATTTATTTCAGGTTGCTTTATATCTTGATAATTATGCATACAACTGAACTGTGTTTATTAAATGAGATAAGGTGCTTATTATATTTCTAGTGAATGCCCAGATATCATCATCATATAAACATTATTACTTTGCTACCAAATAAAACCACATAAATAACAGCTTCCATTTTTGTGGAAAATATATTGCTCTAAATCCCCAAAGGGCAGCCGAACAATGTTAGCTACCTTGTTTAAAAGAAAAAAGAAAAAAGAAAAAGAAAAAGGTATACAGAAATGTTAAATTACCAATTTCACCAGGATATTTTTACTAGTCTTTTTACAATTTGTTCCATTTACAGTACTTGAACTGTTATCATAAAATAATTGTCAGTGTGTATGGGCAGGTGGAGACCGGTGGCTGCTGGCTGGGAGCCCAGCTCTGAAGGCAGAGCAGTGCAGAAGTAAGGATGGCATGGTATGGTAATGTCATCCTTACTTCTCCACTGCTGCATACAGAGCTGGGTCCTCAGGCAGCAGCCGACACTCTCTGGCCACCCAGCTCTGAAGGCAGCAGCGTAGAAATAAGGGTGCATGGTATGGTATTGCCACCCTTACTTCTGTGCTGCTGCTGGCGGAACGCTGTCTTCAGAGCTGGGTGCCTGGCCTGCAGCCACTGCTCTCCTGCCACCGAGCTCAGAAGGCAGCGCAGAAGTAAGAGTGGCAATACCACAATCCCCTCTAAAATAACCGTATGATCGCCTGCAACTCCCTTTTGGGTCAGGGCCCCCAATTTGAGAAACTCCCCCATGAAACTGATATAGTATAGGGTAAAAGCACACAAAAGACCAGATTTCACAGGGGGACAGCAGATTTCATGGTCCGTGATGCGTTTTTCATGGCCGTAAATTTAGTAGGGCTATAGTCATAGAACCTGGGCAAAATCATACAAATCCTCATTTATATGAATAATCTCCTCAGTATCAATGGGATAAGCCACCTGAGTAATGACTTACTCATGTGAAAATTTGCAAGATAAAAACTCTTATACTAGCAGTGTCCTATCTTACTCTATACAAAATTTTCAGATGTGAGTTCTGGCTCCAGTAGAGGCTGGCATCTGAAGACAACCATTTTGAGAGAAGAATGTCTGGATCTCACACACAATAAACTGATTCTAATGAAGCTGTCATGGTTAATGTTGCCAAGCCATGAACACAAAAAAAGCTTGCAGAAGAAAAGCAGATCTGCCCCACTACCAAGGAAGATGCTGCTCTAATGGCCAAACAAAAATTTGGAGGGGAATGCAAATACAAGTGTATAGGAAATACAGTTTGTAACAGCAGCTGATTTGCTTGAAATCAACATATTTCTGCAATGAAATATTCCCAAAAGAAAAATTATACAAATTTATATAAGGATAGGGTGACCAGACAGCAAGTGTGAAAAATCGGGACGGGGGTTGGGGATAATAGGAGCCAATATAAGAAAAAGCCCCAAATATTGGGACTGTCCCTACAAAATCGGGACATCAGGTCACCCTGTATAAGGAAAACAGACTGTAGATTGGCCATTACCTACCGGCTAGTATGCATGGAATGCAGAGTTAAGCATTTTGAATGGCTAACAATTTTCACAAAACAGGATCCTTTGGGTACCTGGTGCAACTCCTTATTTGTCTGGACAGTACCAAGTACACTTTCACAGCTCAATAAACAAACAATAATTGAAAACACATCCATTAATCTATTATCTGAATTTCATTTATTTTCAGTTAACACAAGCAGATCCCAGATGATCATAAATGACAGTGCAATGGGGTGCATAAACCCATGTCAGGGATTAGTACATACAGAAGTGGCAGGAAATGGACTATCTGGGTTCAGTTGCAGCTGCTGCAATAGAAGACTTAACTTTCATGGTCAAAGGGAGGCTGAGAAGGAAATTCTTTCTAAGAGTCCTGCTGGATGGTCTGAGATCTCTGTGAGCCAAAGGAGCTTGCAAGTCACTGAGTCAGAGAGATCAATACATTCAAAAGACAAACTCCACCCCTGGTTAGCAGGTTGTGTTTTTCACTGGCACTGGCTAAGCAAGCTTTATTTTATAAGGCTATAATAAAGCACAAGGTACTTTTATACTGGGACTTTTGAGGATACAATGAATTATGGTGTGCTGGAAGCTTGGGAAGGATGAATTAACTTTGGACAAAGAGACTCCCCTTCCTTTTACCCCATAAGGAAGCTATGATTCTGAATATGGACTGAACACATTTTACATGGTACACCTCTACCCCAATATAATGCGACCCGATATAACACAAATTCGAATATAACACGGTAAAGCAGTGCTCAGGGGGGGCAGGGCTGCGCACTCCGGCGGATCAAAGCAAGTTCGATATAACGCGGTTTCACCTATAACGCGGTAAGATTTTTTGGCTCCCGAGGACAGTGTTATATCGGGGTAGAGGTGTATTCAACAAAGATACAGCTTCCTTCCGCAAACACCTGAACTTGCTTCACTCATGCTGATGATTAAGGATGTCGTTTTCGCCCAACATCCTCGTTCACTGATGTCACCATATAATCTCTTCATATACAACCCAAATCTATATTAAATTCAGCTAGTACAGATGGGAACTACACACTAAAAATCCTGAATATAGGAAGAAGTCCTGTATTACACAGCCACCAAGGGATGACTGGCACAAGAAGAAGATGCGGAAATGCAAACAAAAAGGAAGAGTCATTTTCCATAAAATGGCTAGAATAAGCGAAGAGTGCCATAATGTATTCTATAAATAATTGTATAGCGTAAGGCCTGTGTACCCATAATAAGTCATTATAATAAATTATTCAACAAATCTACATGTGTCTTCATACCAGATAGGCAGGTAGCAAAATACCTGCAATGAACCCTACATGGGTTATGGGAAGAGAAATATAATCATCATCTGTTTATTGATCTGTCACATGCTGCCAGAAAGGCTTTAAACAGAAAATCGTAAGTAAAATCCTCAGCTGATGTAAATCATCATAATCCCACTAAAGTAAGTGGAGATACAGCTGAGGACCTGGCCCTGAGTCTATTTTCCTTTCATATTACAAGCTGAAATATCTACCTTCTAGTTAATAGATTTCAAAAACTTCCACACTTATCAAACACAACCAGAACTAATTCTGATTCTAACACATTCACATTACAAAGAAAGACATTTTTTCTTCTATCCTCTTCTTTTGGTCTCAATGCTTAACGCTGCTGGACACCAAAATCAGGGTTTACACTATAGTTAAGGAAATTGAAAGTGCACCTGGAACCCTAAAAATTATAGGAGATACTTTTCTCCAAGCTGTCTGAAGCACCACGTTCAATTCCTTGTTTTTTTCTAATTTTAATTACTACAAAGTTTTCATTCTGCCTTCAAATAAATCTGAGGTGCATATGGTACATAAAGAATTGTCCCTCAGCACTCTGCAATGAGGAGATTTTTAACTGTTTGCCCACAGTGTTTACACATCACTCTGAATCTATGATCAGTGGAGAGAGAGCCAAAGAAGACTGTGGTAAATAACTTAGAGCTGATGACTTGTAAGGTGTGTGAGCATCATCAAAACGTTATCTGAAGCACAACTGCAATATTCAATGTTTATTTAGATTTAAAAGAATCTACACCAAAGAATACCCATCTGGAGCTGTGAAGGCCCTTGGTTTAATTTTGAAAGTCCAAGGAGAAGTTTCCCAATCAATCCAACAGCAGAGCTTACCCTTGCTCTCCTCCCAACCACATCACACTGATCAGCTGTCAGCAGACTCAAAGTGAATTAGAAATTCCATCCCATTTCACATTTTCCTCAAAACAGAAATCCTACTCTAACTGCCTCAGCCCTCCTCTAGTGCTCCAATAAATTGGCTCTGCAGCCCTGGATGAGCAGCCCACTACTTCAGGGTATGTTGGACTGTGTGGGACAGAACAGCCCAGGAGGCGCTCCCTCACCAAGAATGCTGTGCTGGCAGCCCTGTCTCTTTTACACTGAAGGAGTCTTTGCTTTAGTGTCCACGTTGACCTCAAATGTGATAGTATGGCACAGGGAGAGAGACGGTCTCTTAGGTAGGAAGGTCCAGGCCATGTAACTATTGTGCTTCTTCTGGAAATCAGTAAATAGTCTTTCAGCCAAACCTTTATTTTATAAATATTATTTTAATTCATGATAGGGTTCAGGCTGATTGCTCTGGAAGGTAAAGCCCCCTCTTCACCCACAGAAGAAGTACAGCACAGCACAGCAAGAGATTGTGGAAACTTCCCATCACTTCACCCACTATGCCACAATCCTGTTCTGGAGAAATCACCTCTAGGGTTCAGGGGGTGGGAGGGGTCAGTCTCTATGCCCATTTAATCTTTAACCTCTCTGTTGAAAAAGCCAACAAGGATGCCAACTAGTGCCAAGACTGACGATGGTTTTTGCAAAATGGACACTTGTCCAGTAGACACTAGAATGAAATCAATCTATTTTATGTAAGTTCCTTATCAGCTATCAAATGTCTACAAATGTTCGTCACTAACAGCCTAGACTACATTCAAATAAGCAAGCCAGAGGTGAAAGTTTCTACATCCCAGTCACCTGACCCATTTGCTCCCACTTGGGTTATTTTTAGATATATATTTTTGATGGACACAGAAAAACACAAAAGAAAACCTGTATGTAATGCTACCAGACACTACGCTCCCCAATGCTTTAATATTTTGCCTGTTCTTCACTCACCCAGGATTCAATGGGAACTGCTGAGTGCACACTATTTTTGAAAACAAGGCATTTATTTAGATGCCTAAATATGTACACACAACTTTAGGCACCCATTTCTGAAAATACTGGTCTAGATAGAACTTGCCTCATCTGCAGTCGGAGTACCGAAGCAATTAAAAAGGTGAAAGCTTTACCAATTCTCAATTTATTTGGTATTCTAAAATAATTATTTTAGAATACACTGGTCTACAATTTTTGAGAAGT